GAGTTTCGAGGATGTCTCAAGCAAAACGGCCCGGACCACCTCTCGCGCGGCGTCCCGGAGCGCAACTTTTCGAGGATGTCTCAGGCGGAACGGCCAATCCCGGCCAACTCAGAAACGAGAGTTGTGAGGATGTCTCAAGCGAAACGGCCCGGACTATCAAATTTTTGTGAGGATGTCTCTGCTCCGACTTCCCTCGGCTGGAGTTAGCTTCTATCACAACAGCACCCCATTCAGCAAGCTGTTTGGGGAAAAACCAGCAGTTTTCAAGAATCCCAAGAGAGAGAACACAAACAAACATCAACAACAACAAACACACACACAGGAAAACGGGACGAACTGCACACGCGCGTGTCGTCGCGCGTGCATGCCGGAATCCGACAAACACGTGGAGCTCGAAAGGGAATTCAAAATCGGACGCCCCGTAAACATATACAAACATATTGCTTCCCAAGAAAGGTTCTTCAACAAAAAAGCTTGCTCTCGCGCTCCTGCGGATGCTTTAGAAATGTAGAGTTTTCCAACATGTTCATCACATGCTACAAAACGTGCCTCTCGCGCGCACATGGCGAAATTGCTCGAGCGCCCTTGCGCGCGTGCTGTCGCAAGAACCCTTTCAACATATGTGAAGAAGTGCGCGCGCGCGTCGTGGCACGCGCATGCGGCAATCCGTCGAACACTTCTTGGTGCGTAACGATTTCAAAATCGAGTGTCTCGAAACAAGCATACGAACACACGCTGTTTTGCAACAGCAGTTTTCAAACATGCATGCGGTCGCGCTCCTTCGACTTCTTCAGGAAACCATTCTTGTTTTCCAGTATTGCACTCAGTTCGGCCACACGGGCCTCTCGCGCCGCATGTCGAAATCATTCAAACGCCCTTTCGCGCGTACTGGGGGGGGGGGCACGATCCGTGTCAAATAACACCATGCGGGCCAGTCTCGCGCGTCGGCCGTGCGCGCATGTCGAATTCTTCCCAAACCTTTCATCACCGACGCGATGACGCCGTCATCGTCGTCGGCGTGATCAGCATCGGCGCCGTCACTGGCCTTGCCGTCGTCGTTATCAACATCGTCACCAGCATCGCTACTACCATCATCGTGTCTGCCATTCTCGACGTTGCCATGATACTGCGCCCGCCCAAGTCGCCGAGTCATATTGAAGTGCCCGTTAGGAAGTACCCAGCGGTCAGCGCCACCGTGACTGCATTGGTCGCGCCAGGCTAGCTGGCCGTTTCGCGCGCGAGCATGCGCGGGCTAGCACTGTCGCAACAAGCATTTATCGCAATCGCCGCCGCGTATATTTTGCAAACCAAGCTGCGGGTGGGTGGATGGAACGGTTGCGCGAGCAGTGGGTTGACAATTCCAAATTCGGCAGGGTGAGTTGCACCACCTGGAACGCACCACATAGATTGCACAACAGAGATTGCACACCATAGCTTGCACCGCAAAGATTGCACCACATAGATTGCTCCACATAGCTGGCACAACATAGATTGTACAACAAATACTGCACCACATAGACTGCACCACGTAGATTGCCCCATATAGATCGTACATCTTAGATTTATAGAAACACATTGTTTGGGTCCCGCGCTGGCTAACATGTATCAGGAAAAGGAGGATCCCCTGAACTTCCCCTCGCGCAGGCTGGTGCCCCTGGAGGGGCTGCACAGGATCGCGTCCTTCATCCTGCGCACGCTCGAGCGCGCCCACGGTCGCGGCTGGCTGCACACGGACCGTTGCCGCCAGTCGTCGTCGTCGTCGTCGTCGTCGTCGTCGTCGTCGGCGTCGTCGGCGTCGTCGTTGTCGTCGTCGGTCGGCGTCGTCGTCGTCGTTTGTCGTCGTCGTCGTTTGGCGCGACCTGAGGCGCCTTGCTGCGCTGCTCGGCCGCTGCCGAAGGGCGCTCGAGAGCGAGCGGTGCGCCGGGGTTGGGGGCAGGGTGCTCCGAACGCCGATGCCGTGGAGCGTCGCGCTCCCACCGTGCGGATGGGCGCGCGGCCCCCCCGCGCGCGAGGTGGCGCAGGGGCGATCGATCGAAGGCCACTCGTCGCACGGACGAGCTTCCATCTTTTCTGATCGAGGTCGTGTGTGTGCTTGCCCCTCGCGCGTACTGGCGCAGTGGCGCGGGCTCGGCGCTGGAAGCTGCACGTCCCGAGCTCGATTCTCGGCGCGGCCGGGAGCGGGATCGCGTGCCAGGCGCCCTCAACCGGGGCCGGCGGCGGCGAAGGGCCTGGCGACCCACAGGGAGCCGATGCGTTCAGCGCGAGGTGAGAAGGAGCTCGACTGTATGTGCGTGAGCTGGCGGCTTTCACACTGCCGTCGCACGGGTGAGTGCGGCGCGGGGCGCTCGTTTGCATGGTACGCATTTGGAGCAGGCGCCCATACGGGAGACCATGTAGGCATCACATGCCACCGATTGCGGATCTGGATTCGTCCACACCCAGCCTTAGAAGAAATATGTATGTATATATATATATATATATATATATGTATATAGGACCCTCACTGCCAGCCAAGTTGGTTAGGGCAAGTCAAGAAGAGCACGCGTTTGTCGATGATGTTTGCCATCCCAGGGCCCTCCAATGAAAGGTCCTTTGGTCATCTTGGGACGTCTTGGTGTGCCTGAGTCTGGCTTGGACCATCCTGGACCATTTCGGGGCTGTCTTGGCAGCATCTCGGAAACAGATTGGGGCCAGCATGAGGCTTGACTCCCGTTGTCCTGCTCTCCTGGGGCGCGCTTGGGCGCTCTCGCAGCGAATCTTGGGGCGACTCAGGCGTCGGTGAGGTCCGCAGGCGCCCCAGTGGCGCCCTCGACCGCGCGGACTAGAACAACAACAGCAGCAACAACAACAACAACAACAACAGCAACAACACACACACAACATCATCAACAACAGCAGCAGCAATAACAACAAGAGCATCATCCTCAACAACAACAGCAACGACAGCAACAGCAGCAACAACAGCAGCAGCAGCAACAACTACAACAACGACAAAAGCAACACCAACAACAACAATCATTTGAATAATGTTCGCTCTTATCTGTTCGCGGGCCATTCAACACGTATATCCCAAACCCTCGATACCCGCCTTCTTCGTCTTCGATGTTGCCCCCTTGTGGGTACATATCTTTTCTACCTGCAGCATGTATTCAGCGCAGCCCTTTAGGCAGCGGAAGAGAGGACGCATGGAAGGTAGGGGCAAGGGGGAGGGAGGAGGATGGAGCACGAGAGACAGTAGCAGGATGGGGGCTAGGAGCAGAAAACACGTGGCAGAACCAGACGGGCGGATCGGGCGGGTAAACCCCAACGGGCGGGTCGTGAAGGCGGGCCCAAGCGGCCAGGCCGAGCAGGCGGGTTGCTGAAGCGTGATTACTGCATGAATCGCGAGCGAGGAAGTCTCGAGCGATAGCGCGATTCCCAAATCAATCGTGAGGAAATCCACAGCGAGAGCGTGATTCCTGAGTGTCGAGGGCGCGGCGTTTGAATAAATTGCTAGGGATTCCCACGCGAGAGCGCGATTCCTATATAAAATTGTGAGGACGTCCCGCGCGAGAGTTTGATTTTTGAATAAGCTCGGGACGTATCGGGCGGGAGCCGTTGTGGTTGTAAACCGGGGGCCAACATCACAGATTTGTGATACCAGATTTTCCCTGATGGAAAACGGATTGCGAGCCCCAGGAGGAGCACAGTAATTGAAAAACCATACCGGTCACCGGAGGGTGGGACCAACAATCAATTATTATTCTTCAGAAGTGAGAATTCACCATTTTCTTCAGAATCGCGCTCTCGCGTGGGACTTTCTCACAATGTATGCAGGAATCGTACTCTCGCGTCGGACTTCTCGCGCTTTGCTCATACGCCGCGCCCGCGACACTCAGGAACCGCGTTCTCGCTTTGGACCTCCGCAGGATTTACTTGGGAATCGCGCTATCGCTCGAGAGTTCCTCGCGACTCATGCAGTAATCACGCATCAGCGACCCGCTTGACCCGGCCGCCTGGGCCCGCTCGCCCAGCCCGCCCGACCCGCCCGCCTGGTTCTATCGCTTGCTTTCTGCTCCGAACCGCCCCTGTGCTCCGACCTGCTTCCGTGGTAGATCCGTCTACTGCATGTTCCTGCTCTACCGCCGGTCTCCCACCTCGGCGCTCCCCCCGCCGCAGTCGGCAGCTCAGAGTGGCCTGGCTTCCTCTCCCCCGCTCGCGCCGGGGCTCCTCCTCCTCCTCCTCCTCCTCCTCCGTGTATTTCGGCTTCAATTTGCATACAGCGTGTCCCCTGTTGCGATTTCGCCGGAGCAGTCACATTCTGCCCAGCCGCCGACGCAACAAACAAATTTAGAGCAGGTCCCACATGGTACTCCAACTCCTGCCTTCGCCGACCATGTTGGGCCCATAGGAGCTCCAGGGGTCCAGGGGGCCAGACTCGACGCGAGACCGTCCAAGGCCTTCCAGGAGCTTAACAGTGGAGACCCAGGTCAAGAGACACCCTGCTTGCCTCCAGGGCGTCCTGGGTTTCCAAGGTTTCGATGGTTTTGCGATGGAGATCGTGACGTTCCCGCACCAAAGATCAATGGACGTCCTGGGTTCCAGGGTTTGGCTTCTTGTGGAAGGTGTCTTGTGGTCGGGCTCACAGTGCATACCCAGCAGCATCGCAGACGGCGGCGCCTCGCTGCACGCGCAGCCGGCAGCGGGGAGATTAGCAGTACGGAGTCGGCGCCTCGCTAAGGGGGTTCAAAGATGGGGCCCCGAGGGATGGGCCCCCAAGGATCACGAATGGGGCCCCCGGCTGAACCTTCAGTCTTTGAGGCCACGCGCTCTTGAGGCCTCACCCCGCAGGGTTGTCTTTGCACCGCCGACCGCCGACTGTTGATGATCGCAGCTGGGCGACGGAAGAAAATGGGATCGTCTGCGCGGGCGTTGGTGCAGAAATTGCCCGCGTAAGGTCGCGCGTGAGCGCCCTCGTTTCCACTGCGGCGTGCCACGCTGGCGGCCCGCGCAAGCCGCGGCGGAAGACCGCGATGTCTTCTCGCGCCAGTCGGGGGACGAGCTGCCGGAGGTCCGCGCGGACTTCTCGAATCGGCGCAGTGCGCCAGGGGCGGTGCTCCCGGCGCCGCTGAGGGACCCCAGCGCCGCTCCGAGAAACCCGCGCGGACCTCCCAAAGCTGAGTGTTCATGTCAATTTTCGTTCTCCCCTACAGTGAACCCGCATAGTAGGGATCGGCAACCCTCCGAAGGGTACCCTTGCCTCCGTGCCCCTGCGGCTCATCCTCAGCGGCTTTCACTGGCCAGCCTCGTTCGAGAACCGTCAGCTTGGCCCTCCAAGGCCCTTGCATCTTTACCGCGCATCCTTACGATACGGGTTGACTGTAGTAAGACTCCTTCCCTTTCGTCGCTCAGGTGGTGGGGCCCCTTGTGGCCCACGCGGGCGGGCCTGGCCAGTTGGCCACGGGCGCGCCCAGGACCTGCAGGCCAGGGACGTGCTGCTGGCGGTCGACGCCGGCGGCCCCGGGGGGGAGGGGCTTAGGAGTGGGTAGGGATTTGGGGGAGAGCGGGAGGCCTGGGGAGGGAGGGGGCTCGAGGAATGGGGAAGAGGGAGGGCGTGAGGAGTAGAGGTGAGAGCAGAGGAGAGGAGGAGGAGGAGGATCAGACAGCCTCTCTTTGCCGTCTGCCTCCTCGGCAGATGCAGACGGTGGCTGGGGGCGGGCGTCACGCGTGCAGCATCCTCCTACTCCTCCTCAACCTCCTCCCCTCCTCCTCCTCCCTCCACCTCCCCCTCCCCCTCCTCCTCCACCTCCTACCTCACTCCTCCCTCCTCCCCCTCCTCCTCCTCCTCCTCCCTCCTCCCACCTCTTCCCCTACCTCCTTCCTCCTCCCCTCCTCCTCCTCCTCCCCTCCTCCTCCTCCCCTCCTTCCCCTCCACCATCCTCCCCCCACCCCCCCCCTCCCTCCTCCTCCTCCTCCTCCCCTCCTCCTCCTCCTCCCTCCTCCTCTCCCCTCCTCCTCCTCCCACCTCCTCCTCCTCCTCCTCCTCCTCTCACCGCCCCCCCCTCCGCTCCTCCTCCTCCCCCTCCTCCTCTCCTCCTCCAGCCTCCTCCTCCTCCTCCTCCTCCTCCTCCTCCTCCGCCACCTCCTCCTCCTTCCTCCTCCTCACCCACTCATCCTACGGCTCCTCCTCCTCCTCCTCCTCCTCCTCCTCCTTCTTCTCCCCCTCCCTCCTCACCCCCCCCCCTCCACACCCCTCATCCCTCCTCCTCCTCCTCCTCCTCCTACTTCTCCTCCTCCTCCTCCTCCTCGTCCCCCTCGTCGAGGAGTAGGAGGAGGAGCTCCTGGAGCAGCCCCCCTGCCAGGGAGGGGAGGCCCTCGCCGAGGAGCTCCGCGGGCAGAATCAGTAATCCTGGTAGCACGATGAAGACGTGGCCTCACTGAGGTCCCCGTCCTCGCGTGAGGGGTAATCAGTCGGGACGGCTTTGTGTGAGACCTCCGCAGAAAAAAAAAAACCTTTTCCCAAATGTTGCTGGCCCTCATAGCTTAGGTCCCCTCCCAAGGGGCTAGGGGTCCTTTTCTTGCCTGTTATCCTCGTTCCCGATTCGGCGTTCCTCGTGGCAGTCTGGGCCTCGCTTGGGCGTGTGCGTTTTTTTTCTCCTCGGCGACGGTCATCGAGGAGCACACCTGGATCACCGAGCCCCCCCCAAAAAGAAAATAAGCACGCACGAGACCGAACCGGGCACGGGGAATGGACGTCCGAGCGACGGCGAGCAGTGCCATGCTTGTCTTTGTCGGGGAGCCTCGTCGAAGAGAGGGGCGATGGGAACCCCCGGATACTATTCAGGAGGGAAGAAAACACACAGACACGACTAACCGTCGATTCCATAGAAAATATGGGAAGATGTGGGAGGTGGGGGGGAAGGCAAAAGCCCAGAAAATATGGAAAAGTATTGGGCATCCTGTTGTGTGCATTTATTTGTGTGTGTCCCAGGGCCCCTTCAACGATTGCCTTCCCCCCCCCCCCCTCCCTCTTCTCGGCGGGTGCAAGAGGGGTGGATGCCCCAGGGGCGGGCACTGCACGCATTCGCCGGGGCGCCCCGTCGACGACCTGGGCGATCCTCGGTGAGAGCGGCGACGGACAGGCCGCAGCAGCTCCTACGCATGTCGCACAGGACCCGCAGTCGGTGCCGCCGCAGACGTGGTCCACTCGAGACAGAAGGTCGTCTGCGCAACAGCGGCCGCTGTCGGCTTTAGACGCCGTGCCCCTTTTCTGTGCCTGTCTCGAGCGTCCACAGATCGGAGCCCCTGGATACAGGCAGTGCTCCCCTGCTGGGTTATCCGCCCTTGTCGCAGCCGCCGGTCTTCCCCTCCCTCTTCTCAGGAGCCTGCGACCAGGTGCAAGCCGTGGGGTGCTGGACACCCCGGCTGGGACACCGGGTATCGGACACCCCCGCTGGGGTCCACTGGGCTGCAGACATCCTGCGAACGCTGAGCCTGACCCCGGTTTTGCAGAAATCGGACCTGCGGGGGCAGGGTTCACATGTGGCTGCCGAGGGAGGAGTCCCAGTCCCTCCCACGTCCTTCACCTCTCTCCCTCCCATGCCCGGGCGGTGCGAGGACGAGGACGAATCCGTTCCAGAGCGTTCTTGAACGTTCTCAGAGCGTTGCGGAACGCTCTGAGAAGGCCGCGGCGCCCGAGACATCCTCCAGAGCCGCCGGATCTCAGAGATGATTGGTTTATCCTCGCCCGACTTGTTGTCCTCGTCCTGACGTCGTCTTCTGCCTAGGGAGGAGTCCCAGTCCCTCGCATGTCCTTCCTAATCCACCCGAACTCGCTTCGCGACCGTCGTCACTCACTCACTCTCCCTCCCTTGCCCTGGCCCCTGCTCCAAGCCTCTCGGCTCCTCGCGCCTGCACTCCTTCGGACGCCGAGCCGGGGGGGGGGGAAGTGAGAAGGAGAAGGCCTTCTCAGACGGCTCGGACGCCCCCCGCCCTTCGGGAAGTTTTCTCTAAGCTCAGGAGGGAAAAACACACACACAGACACCATGAATCGTCGATTCCCCAGAAAACAAGTGGCACGTGTGCCATAGCCCTTGCACAAAAAGGAAGGGGGAGGAGGAGGAGGAGGAGGAGGAGGAGGAGGAGGAGGAGGAGGAGGTGGAGGAGGAGGGGGGAAGAGGGGGCAAAGCATCGCCCTCTGGGCCCAGCAACGGGGCCCGAGTCCCAGGTGGGGAGGGTGGGGGAGGCGGCGTGCGTCGCGACGCTGGATAAAGTGCTCGGAGCGGAGGGAGCACGGGGCGGAGGTCCCACTGGGGCGCTGGGGGCGCGGAGAGGAGGGGTGGTGGTGTGTGCCGCGACGCGGAATAAACTGTCGGGGCGGAGGGGGCACTGGGCGGGGCTTGGGGCAGAGGGCCACGGGGCGGGGGTCCAACTGGGGCGCTGGGGAAAGGGGGGGAAGGGGGGGAGGTGGCGTGCGTCGCGACGCGGAATAAAACTGTCGGGCCGGAGGGGGCACGGGGCGGAGTCCCCACTGGGGCGCTGGGGACGTGGGGAAGGAGGTGGGGGAGGTGGTGTGCGGCGCGACGCGGGATGAAGCGTTAGTGGCGGAAGGGGCAGTGGGCGGGGCCCCCGCTGGGGCGCTGGGGACGCGGGGGGGCTCGGGGCAGAGAACCACGGCGCGGGGGTCCCACTCTGGCGCTGGGGACGCGGAGGGGGGGGTGCGACGCGTAATACAGCGTTCGTGTCGGAGGGGGCAGTGGGCGGGGGCCCCGCTGGGGCGCTGGGGACGCGGCGGGGCTTGGGGCGGAGAGCCACGGCGCGGGGGTCCCACACTGGCGCTGGGGACGCGGGGGGGGGAGGTGCGTTCGTCGTGGCGGAGGGGGCAGTGGGCGGGGCCCCCGCTGGGGCGCTGGGGACGCGGTGGGCTCGGGGCAGAAAGCCACGGCGCGGGGGCCTCACACTGGCGCTGAGGACGCGGGGGGGGCGGGGGGGGGGGGGGGGGAGGGCGCGGGGGCGTGGGGGGTGGGGCGGGGATGGGGCGCTGGGGACGCGGGGGAGCTTGGGGCAGAGAGCCACGGCGCGGGGGCCCCACTCTGGCGCTGAGGACGCGAGGGGGGGGGGGAGCGACGCGAAATAAAATGGTCGGAGCTCTAGACACCCTGCGCAAGAAAATAAAATGGTCTGGGCGGAGGGGGCGGCGCGCTGGGCTGGGCTGCTGGGGAGAAGGGGAGGGGGGGGGCGACGACGACGCCGAAATAAAGTGGTCGGGGCGAAGGGGGCGGCGCGCCGGGCTGCTCGGGAGAGGGAGATGGAAGGGGGGGGGGGGGGGGCGACGACGACGCCGAAATAAAGGGTCGGGGTGGAGAGAGGGCGGCGCGCGGGCTGCTGGGGAAAATGAACAGGGGGGGCGACACAACGCCGAAATAAAGTGGTCGGGGCGGAGGGGGCAGCGCGCTGGGCTGCTGAGGAGAGGGAGAGGGGGGGTGGGGGCGACGACGACGCCGAAATAAAGTCGTCGGGGCGGAGGGGGCGGTGCGCTGGGGTGCTGGGGAGCGACACATAGCGACACATGTCGACACAACGCCGAAATAGGGCGACGACGACGCCGAAATAAAGTGGTCGGGGCGGAGAGGGCGGTGCGCTGGGCTGCTGGGGAAAGCGACACATGTCGACACAACGCCGAAATAGGGCGACGACGACGCCGAAATAAAGTGGTCGGGGCGGAGAGGGCGGTGCGCTGGGCTGCTGGGGAAAAGGACCGGGGGGGGGCGACGACGACGCCGAAATAAAGTGGTCGGGGCGGAGGGGGCAGCGCGCTGGGCTGCTGAGGAGAGGGAGAGGGGGGGGGGGGCGACGACGACGCCGAAATAAAGTCGTCGGGGCGGAGGGGGCGGTGCGATGGGCTGCTGGGGAGCCACACATAGCGACCATTGTCGACACAACGCCCTGAGGACACTCCAAAGGGTCGGGGGATTGGGCCGGAAGGGGGGCAGCGTGAGCGCGGCGGGCATGCTGAGTAAAGGGGAGAGGGGGGGGAGGGGGGGCGACGACGACCCGAAAACAGCCGTCGGGGCGGAGGGGGCGGTGCGCTGGGGTGCTGGGGAGCGACACGTAGTGACACATGTCGACACAACGCCGAAATAAAGTGGTCGGGGCGGAGGGGGCAGCGCGCTGGGCTGCTGAGGAGAGGGGGGGGGGGGGCGACGACGACGCCGAAATAAAGTCGTCGGGGCGGAGGGGGCGGTGCGCTGGGGTGCTGGGGAGCGACACGTAGCGACACATGTCGACACATATCGACATATAGAGACATATATCGACACACGCACATATCGACGCATAGCGACACACAGCGACACATTGCGACGCACACATGGAGACGCATAGCGACACACAGCGACACATATAGCGGCACATGAAGGGCACAAGGCACACAGCGACACATATAGCGACACCTGAAGGGCACAAGGCAGCTGAGGGGGAGCGACGACGACGCCGAAATAAAGTGGTCGGAGCTCTAGACACCCTGTGCAAGAGAATATTGGAAAATATGGGAAGTGGGGGAGAAGACGGACATCCAGAACATATGTGAAAGTATAGTGGATATTTTAATTGGTGTGTATGTATTAGTGTGTCTTTGGGCCCCTTGATAAGCTTTACCCGAAGACGCAGAAAACTTCTCGGAAGGCGCGGGGGCTTCTGAGAAGCCCCGCCGCCTCCTGAGAAGGCCTTTTCCTTCTCACTTCCGCCTTCGCTCGCCGCTGATTTCCACTCCTGCGCCTGTGTTTCCGCCGCTCCTCCCAGTCTCCCAGCTTTTAGCCTTCCCTCTCAGTTAAAACCAGGTAAACACATACATCTGGAGGAAAAACAGCACACGGACACAAATAAACGTCGACTCCCAGAAAATATGGCAAACTATGGGGAGCGGGGGGCAAGACGAAACTCGAGAAAATATTTGAAAAATGGTGCATCTCGGGATTTGTCCCTATTTCTCTATGTGTCCCTGGGCTACTTCAATAAAGGAAGACAGGATAGGCAGTAACAGCTTAGCTTTCCCCCTCCGCTTCTTGGATCCGCTCCAGGCACCCCCCGGCGGCGCCTCCGGCGCCGCCCCTGGCGCGCTCCGCGCGCCAGGGGGGAGGGTCCAGCGCAGATCCAAGAAATCCGCGCGGAGCGTCAAACATTTCTGTTTATGCCGCTTCTCCTTCCTCAAGAGAAGTGCGGCGCTGCGCTGTGTTTGGCGTTCGATTCGGATCGCAGGTGCAGAGCACGATCATGGGCTTTCTGCAACACGCATTGTGGTCCACCACCGTTCCTCCCCCTCCTCCATCGCCTGTTCCTCCGGCTACGCCGCGTCCTCCTCCGCCTCCTCGAGACTCTTTTTAGCAGTCGGGCGATCAAGCAGGTCATCGGCCCCCCCCCGACCCCTCTCCTCTCCCGGGACAACCTGACCTTATCGGTTGCACAGGTCCGAAGGGGGGTGCGCAGTACTGGTGCGCGTGGGCATACGTGGAGCTCCCCGAAATGAAAAAGCCGGGTCATCGGTCGGCGCCTCCCTCCCCCCACCCACCCACCGGATAAGCTGGGCCACCGCCGAAAAATGCAAAGAATGATCTCCTCCTCGTTACCTTCCTCTTGCTCCTGCCTCCTCCTGGGGATGACAAGGGAGGCAGCAGGAGGGTGAGGGGGATGATGAGGAGGCAAGAGGAGGGGGAGCATGAGGACCAGGACGAGCAGGCGGAAGCGGAAGCGGGAAGCGGAGCAGAGGGCCAGGAGGAGGAGGACGAGGGCCGCAGGGGAGGAGGGGGGCCGAGCAGGAGCAGGGGACCCACGAGGAAGAGGCCGAGGACGAGGACACCGACGACGACGACGACGACGACGACGACGACGACGACGACGACGACGACGACGACGACGACACCGACGACGACGCCGACGCCGACGCCGACGCCGCCGACGCCGCCGCCGACGACGACGACGACTAAGAGGACGACTAAGACGAAGACGGCGACGACGACGGCGCCGACGAGCGCCGAGAGCCCGAGGCGCCAGCGGGGACGTCCGCGCCGCCTCTTCGGGGCTGCTGTGCGGGTGGTCGCGCGCCTCGCGGCGGCGCAGCGAGGGGCTGCGAGGAGCCGACCAGGGGGAGGGGGGCGGGCTCCTCCTCCTCCTCCTCCTCCTCCTCCTCCTCCCTCCTCTCCCTCCTCCTCCTCCTCCTCCTCCTCCTCCTCCTCCTCTCTCGATCCTCCTCATCCCTAGGAGGCTCCAACCTCTCACGTTCCTCCTCACACTCACTCGTTCTATCCGTTGTCCTTATACATAACTCCTCCCTGCCGCATCCACAGGGCGGGCCGCGCGGGCCGGGCGTTCGGCTTGAGTTTTTTTTCACCAGACATGCTCCAGAAGTTTAGTCTGTGCAGCAGTTTCAAGGATGGGGGGCGGGCCGTTTCCAAAATG